CAGCCAGTTGCGAATCCATCTAGTGGTGGTGCTATCCATTCCACTTTTTTCTAGCTTACTAAGAAGTAGGTTGTGGTCTACTTTGTCGAATGCTTTGCTGAAATCTAAATATATTATGTCCACAGTATTTTGCTGGTCTACTAATTTAGTCACTGTGTTGAAGAATGAAATAAGATTGGTTTGGCATGATCTGTTTTTAACAAACCTATGCTGACTGCTAGTTATTACTTTACTTGTTTCTAGATGTTGGCAGATCTGTTTTTTTATTATCTTTTCCCATATCTTCCCGGGTATTGATGTTACGCTGATTGGTCTATAGCTTCCTGGGTCTGTTTTTTTTTCCTTTTTTGAATATGGGAACCACATCAGCTCTTTTCCAGTCCTCTGGTAGTTCCCCGGTGCTCCAGGATTTTTGAAAGATATGGTGCAGTGGTTCTGAGATGACCTCTGCCTGCTCCTTTAAAACTCTGGGATGTAATCCATCAGGCCCCGGTGATTTGTTTTCATCAAAATCAGACAGGTGTTCTCTTACTATTTTTTTGCTTATTTTAACTTTTATTTCTTGTCTGTCTTTTACAGTTGGTGGGTTGAGCTATAGTTTCTTTTTGTGTGAAGACTGATGCAAAGAATGGGTTAAGCAGTTCTGCTTTTTCTCTGTTGCCTGTTACTTCCTTGCCATCTTCTCTCTTTAGTGGACCGACTGTTTCCTTGATTTTTTTCTTGTTATTTATATGTTGGAAGAAACTTTTTTTATTATCTTTGACTTTTGTTGCAAGTGTTTGTTCGTTCTGAGCCTTTGCTATCCTGACTTTGTCTTTGCAGATTCTGGCTATCTGCTGATATTCTGCCTTAGAATAGTTGTATGCCCTTCTTTCCATTTTTTGTACTTGTCCTTTTTTTCTTTCAATTTGCCAGAGAGATCTGGTGTCTATTGTTATGCACAAAAAGAAATAATTTGATGTATTTATCATAAATGATATGTAGTAATACCTGGAAACTGGGGACATTTTGCTAATTACAAATAGGTTCACAACCTTTTCTCCTACTTTTTGATTTACAATATTGATTTTGAACTTGTTGAATTTTAAAATAATGGTTTGATTTTACCTTTCCATTCCCCCCCACCCACACCCACCCCACACACAAAATTCTTCCAGGCTACATGTCTCAAGATAGCCAAGTGGTAATTTCAACTGTATTGTAATACCCACTGCAGTCATAATTGCAGCTTTCTTAACCCCAGAGTGCAAGTACATTTTTGTTTCTTTTCATTTTAAGGTCAGCTGGTGGGTGCACAAATGTTCTCTTAAGAAATAATCTGCTTCAGTGCAGTAAAGTTTTGAATGGTAAAGTTTCTTACAATTGCAAGACACATCAATGTGGTGGGAAGAGAACTCAATTCAGGGTTTTTAAATTGCTTAGCTTTTAACTCAGTGAAATTTTCAGACCTTGTTTCCTTGGCCATTTGGGAGGCAAGAACGATGCAAGCTCAAAAGTGTTGTATTCTTTTTTTCCCCTCTATGGCTTCAAAGATGTAGATGCTGTTGCAGTTCCAAAGTCAAACAATTCAGGGAAACAAAAGAAACGATCTCAGATCCTTTATGTTCATTTAAAATTTTACTATACTTAAACTACTGAGTCGCATTACACAGCATGACTTCTAAGAATATAACACAAATGAGTCCCAAAGAAAGCCAGTGCTTCTTCACGCTCAACAAAGTTATGGATTTGGTCAAAAGAACAACTGTTATGGCCACTGATTTTGTGGCTTTTAAAGATTACTTTAGAATTTCAACTTCTATAGCGATGAAATCACAGCAGAAGTCTGTCACTTTTATTTCATGTTTGTGGGATTCCCATTCAAAGTAGGATATTAAGCGAGGGCTACAGTGTGTCCAAAAGAGCTTTAGCTGCATAGTGTCATAGCTCTAGCAAGGTTTGCATGCTCTTTCAATATTTGGGCAGAATAATTTGGGATTTTAGAGGCGCTACCATTTTTTTTTCTTGAAATGATGTACTTCTTACAAAAGAAATTTCCTGAGATTATTTTCTTTGAGAGTTAACTTTCTTTTGATCATTGTGCTTTGGTACCCAGCATAAATTTTATTTCAGCAAGATTTATTGGTAACTGATATACAAATAGATCGCGGAGAACATTATTGGAACAAGCAACATTTTCTATTGTTTTTTTAACTCTTTTAAGTAGCAACTTTTAGTAACCAGTCCTTTAGTTTTGGATAAATTAGAGTAAGTAATCTAACTCTGCTAGTCCTCTGACTCTACAACTTGTATAAACAAATAATTTTTGGTAATTTACAGGGTTGTTTAACAGGATTTGTGTGGGAAGGTAGCCATTGTCCTAGCATACTTTCTGAACAAGGCCATCATGTTCAATTATAATGTGATTTATTTATCTTGGCATGGCATGATGAACACACCACTTGTATTTTGTTAATTTGGATGGTGTAAAAGACCTGTGGGTAATTCTCATTGACTGAATATATATATTGGGTAGGACTTTAAAAAGTCTGTCACTTCCAGTTTGAGCTTCTACGGCGACAGACCGAAACCTTGTCTCTACAAGGCTTCGATCTGTGTTCGCCGCTGGAGCACCCCAAGCTGGCTGGTTTCGGGGCTAAGCCACCCCATAGAGGTGATGAAGAAGGGGGAGATTGCCTGCAGGGTTGAGGAGAGCCGCATCTCTCCTCCCCAGCTGGCCATTACTCCCTTTCCTGAAGGCGGTTGTAGCGGTGGTCAGAAATGGCCACCACAAAGAAGAACTTGACCAGAAAAGAATGTGCAGTAGGAAGATAAGAAGAGAAAGTTTTGGTTGACCGGGTCAAACAGCAAAAGCATCAAATAAGGTACCCTGAAATTGAAACTATTAAAAAAAACCAATAACATTGTTCCCTAAGAAGATTTTTAAGCTGCGAAGGAGGGAGAAAAGGGAAAAGATTTGAGTTTTTTCCCCCTTTTCCTATACTGACAGCTAAGAGACTTAAACAAGAAATTGGAAAAAAATCCACTTTGACATTAATAGGCATTTAATGCTGAAAATAAAAAGTCAAAGGGATAGTAAAGATTTCTGGATAATCGAGGGCTTTTGAAGACAGGAAAGGAGAGAAGGAGGATAAAAGGGCAGCATCTGGAAGGGAGGAGACTGCCTGGAATTAAAAAAGAACTTACAGCAAAATCTCAACAAGACTTCCAAAAGATACATTTTAACTGAAATATCGCAACAAAAACCCCAGGAAGAGAAAGTGGAAAAAGAAATAAGAAGTAATAACTTGGTACTATTTGGATTACTTCATGATTTCTGGATTTTTGGTTATTGTATTTGAATGACTAAAATCAATCGGGTGGTTGTTTAAAACTGTTTAAAATGGCTCCACTTTTAGAAGAACTGAAAATGGAACTTAAAAAGTACAAAGAAGATGCACAAGAAAGGAGAGGTTCTTTTAGCTTCGTATTTCAGTTTTTAGAAATGGAGATTTGGAATTATGAGAGACAACAAGAAATGCCTGCAGAGCAAGAAGATTGAGACAAAGAGGAAGCCATCTTTAATGAACAAGTAATCTTAGGTGGGGGGGGGGGAAGGAAAGTGGGGAAAGAGAATGGAAAGTTTAAGATTGGGAAAAACAACTCCCAAAAAAATAGAGTGAAAAATAGGTGTGGAATCAGAAAGCAACAGAAGAGGGAAATGCAGAAGAGAGAATTAGAGGTGGAGAGACAAGGGGGTAAAAAAGGGAGGGAGAAGATGAGAGGGAAGAAAGAAAGGAAAATAAGTTATAAAGGACAGAAACAAAATGTAGAGAAACAGGGCCTCTTTAGAGATAATGGGTGAATATTTAATGGAAAAAGGGATTCTGCAAAGGTACATAAGATAGTATTGTTATATTAGAAATAGAAATAATTTTAAAAAATATGAAACAATGTATGATTAAAATGTTTGATAAAATAGCTATTGTAATTCAGTGGAATGCTTGTCAATAAACAAATGTAACAAAATGAATATTTAATGATTTACAAAACATATGTGAAGAGAAATAAGGGAAAAATTAATTATGGAGATTATATGTGTCTTTAAGGAAGTATGATATTTAATTGAAAAGAAGTGTTAAAGATGTTATGGTTTTAATGATTATTAATGATAGAACTGAATTGGAATGGAATGAGGGTTTATAATTACATATATTTACAATCTTTCTTTTTTTAAAATAATATACTGTGTATTATAAGAATATACCAAGCAGAATTCGATTGGAAGTTATGTATTATGTATTATATTGAAGGTCATAAACTTAAGGTATATATTGAAGCTTAAATAAGAGTTGAATGGATGTAATTAAAAGATATAAAGGTGTCATACTCCAATTAGTAACTACAGGAGAAAATTTGTTTAATGAGAAAAGATAATATGAAATTGAAACAGAACAGACAAAAGTATAAATATAATGATTTGAATTGAGATGAGATAATCAAAATAAAATTGAGAAAAATAAAAGAGGGGAAAAACTATATAGAAAATGTAGAATAGTATAAGATATGGAATAGAACAAAAAAAAGAGCATGAAATTGAGTTTTGTGTCTGTATAAAGAAGTTCAACCCGGGACCATGCTATTTTCAAAAAAGATGTTTTACTTGTATTTTGTATGTGTGAAAACCCAAATAAAACTTTATTAAAAAAAAAAAAAAGGCTGTCACCCCATTTCCAAACACACTGCTTCATCCCCAGTTAAAAATAAAAGGTGGAATGCATGACAATAGTATAGTCATACATACATGTAAATTGTTTGTTTTGTTGGAATTCTTTATTTTGTTGTTTTATTCTTCCAAGGAGCAGTATCCTACAATCTTTACAATCAGTCTAGAACAGATACTATAAATTGATGATACAATTTAAGTTTCAATATATTTCATCAAATTTATCCCTTCTATGCTGATGCTGAAATCCTTCTTAAACTGTATTACTGTCTCATTATATTTTTATATTTTTCAGAACATTATCAGCTGTATGTTCCTGAATCAGCACAGGTTGGTTCTGCTGTAGGCAAAATCAAGGCCACTGATGCAGACATAGGGTCAAATGCAGACATGAAATACAGTATCATAAATGGGGATGGTTCTGGAATATTTTCTATATCAACTGACAAAGAAACACGGGAAGGAATTATTTCCTTGAAGAAGGTAAGCAAAATAATTGCAAAAGATTTCTTTGTGAAAGATATTAAAGATCCTAGAATCCTTGACAAACAAGATGTTTGTTTGAATCTAGAATTATTCCTGACATGTGTGTTTGGAAATGTACCATTTCAAAGGAAACATAATTGAATTCAAAATCTGTTCAATGCTGGGATTTATCTTACTCTATTTTATAAATCATTTTTCCTCTAACCAGACTCCAGTGGAGAGACAGCACCAATTGGGAAAATACAAAAGGGACTAGTGGGAAATGAATCATGATCAGACAAAATAATCCCATCCTATTCAGTTTCACCATAATTTAAAAAGTAGCATCTTCTTTCTATTTAACTTGGCAATTCATGGTTTAAAACAAGGGCTCTCAATTTTTTATTTTGTTTTATTTTACTTGAGATGAGGATTATACTCTTCTTCGAATGGCAAGCCAGGGGTCATATTCTGCCATGAAGATGGAAATGAGTGGGTGGGGGGAAGGAAATGTGCTGTAGTAAAAAATAAATCACTATTTAAAAATAATGCTGTGTAGCTAATATGATTGTTTGGAGATATTTAATATATTCCATGTTATTAGAAACTGCATATTATTGGCAATATAATGGAAGAGTTTGGGTGGCCATACCTGATATGCCATGTATACATTTTCTGTGACCCAATTGAAATTGATAAATTTCATCAAACATACATGAACGCTCAGGCCATCTTTGGTTGCCATAGAAATGAAGAGATAGATGAGCACTGCTTTAAATATGAAAAATTCATTCTAAAATTATGTATGTATGGCTAGTCCATCCTCAACCATGAGAATGCATTGGATTATTTCAGGCCAGTCATTCTCTCTCTCTCACACAACCCAAGAATAGTTGTTCAAAAGTAGGAATAATGGGAAAAAGCTATGTGACCTTAAGCAATTGAACAATAGATGGGATATAAATCTAATTAGTTAAATAGAAATTGCTTATAAAATGTGTCATATTCCACACAGAATGGACAACTCACTGTGGCCATCTTGCCCTGGCTGTCTTGCTGTGGCCAGTTTGCTCAATGGCCAACTGGCCATGGCCCACTCACTGCAAGGCAACTGGCCATGGGACAATTCCATATGGGGTAACTCAACATGATAAATATTATCCACCACTGTTTCTTCAACCTTATTTCCATTGACAAAAATGGAAATAAACTCTAGAAAATAATGGTGGATAACATTTTTCACTTTAAGATTTCCAACATGAATTGTCCCATGGTGAGTTGGCCATGGAAAGTTGGCTGTGGCAAATTGGCCACAGCAAGTTGTCCTAGATCCTAATCCAGATGTCCTGCTCTCCAGTGCTGGGATTCAAAATTTTTTTACCACCAATTCTGTGGGCAGGGCTTGGTGGGCGTGGCAGGGGAAGGATGCTGTAAAATCTCTTGTCAGAGGTGGTATTTGTCGGTTCTCCAAACTACTCAAAATTTCCACTACCAGTTCTCCAGTACTGGTCAGAACCTGCTGAATACCACCTCTGCTGCTCTCCCATACACTCATGAAAATTATTGCTGGCATATATAATTATTTCTGCTACAAGATGGTGATTCACCCATGAAAAAAGAATTCATATAAATTGCTACATTCATGCCTGTATCTAAAGATGACAATCCATCATTACACATAAATACTATGGTTTTAAATATTCAGTTGACATACAGAACAAAATAAAGTAGGTATAGAATGGAGCTGTGCATGCTATCTTCTGTTTTTCTTTCTCTTACTCAACCTCTATAATCAGAGTTTTGAAGCAGAACCCTAATGCTAACTCCTCCCCTTCCTCCTCATTTTCTGCCTACTAGGATTGATTTAATCTCTGGCTTTCAGCATGTTAACTTGCTCGGTTCTTGGCCTCAGCTATCTTGGCCTCAGCCTCTAATGCCTCAAGAATGTATAACTTGGCAAGACCCAGCTATTTCATATTCTAAGTATACAAGCCTGTATACCTACCAATATTTATTTCACAGGAAGACATTAAGCTAATATTCCACTGTGTATGTTTATGGAAGTAATGATAAGCTGCAAATGAAAATGTCAGTGAGAAAATCTTTCAGTGCATATAAGCTTTTCAGGTCCTCAAGAAATTGCATAAAACATTAGACTGGCGGAGTAAGTAATAAATAATGGTCACTGACATTATCCATATTTTCATGTTTGATCTGAAAAAAACATTGATAATTTCAGCATTTAAGGTAACAATCACTCTTCTGCCTTTTTTTTTTCCAGCCTTATTGTCCAGATAGGTCCTTGAGAAGATAAAATAAATAAATAAACATAAGTAACTTAATTGAATTTTCAATGAGCATTACCACATCAACTCCTGTTTCACATGCAAAGCACCCTGAAGATATATTAGCCACATTGTCTTTTCCCTCCTCCCTGATTAAATCCATTATTTCCTTATCCAAAATGAGTTCTGCATAGTATCGACCTTGTAGGGAACACTTATGCCTCAGCCTTCCATGTTCATGTTATTCAGAAGCTAATTGCAGGAGCCGTTTAATCAATCAGCTTTACATGACTGCTGAATTTCCCCACTGAACCTCTAGCCATGTAAGGTAGCCTAGGAGATTTAACAAACTTTTTGATGAAACTCCAAATGGATCCGGGTGGCAGATAGAATAGTGTGCACAGCATAGCACATCATGGTTTGTTTGTTGATTGGTTGGTTGGTTGGTTGGTTCTTATAACTGAAAAAAATGGTTTAAGAAAAAGTCAAGAATCCATTCAAAATGGCAATATATTAAAAATCAGTGTCAATACTATGATGACCTAGTCCAGAAATGACTGGTCCTGAATTACATTAAGACCCAAATGACCCTTAATGAGAAATCAAGCATAACTTAATTGGGCTGGATTGTTTCACCCAAATCAAGTAGACATATGGTTAAGAGAATGTGAACATGTAATTTAGGCTTACTCTTAGTTACTGTACATACTAATGTTATTATGTAAATAGATGTTCTCTCAAACTGTCATAAACATTATTACTAAATATTGATAAGAAATAGAGGCAAGAATCTCATAAATATTTGACTTTTCATCCATACCTGGGATTTTGGGCATGATATAGGTTTAATATAATCCACTCTCATCTTTGCTCTAATTAAATTTGTATCTGTCAAAAATTAGTTCAAAGGAACATTGCTTTAAATTATTAAATAATGTAAACTATTGTGCAATTTATATATTATATAATTATTTTGTTGCCCATGAGGAAAATATGGACTGGAGATCAGAAAAAAAGATAATCTCATGGGAGAAAACACACAGACAGACACACAAAAGGTTACTAGGAGATATTAGAACCATAAATAGTGGGGGGTTTTAATTGAATCTCAGGATTGTCAACTCAAGCTAAAATATTACAGGCAACCATGTGAATAGGGATGCTAGGGCCAGTATCCAAGCACTATACATATTAATCTTTTCTTGAAGATTCACTCAGACTCATTTCCAGGAAAAGTCAGGTATAATTGCCTGCTTTGTCTATCTTTCACACTCCTTTGAAGGTTTCTACTATATTTCTGCAACAGATTTCCAGATTTACCAATTAAATGCTCAACCCATAGAAACCTCAGAGCTCTGCTTTCCACCACACCTCATGTCTCTGTCTGACAGAGCACATAAGTGGAAAAAAGATATCTTTTTTTCAATGCAATAATACAAGCCAACATTTGCAGCTGAAGGCTACCTGAGGATGATTAATACTGTATTATTGAAAAAGGGATAGACTGAAAGTTTGTCAGAACAAAAGCGCTCTTAGAGAAAATGACTTAAATGGGTTCAAATACAACTGAAGTATTTTGTTCAACAATTTCACAAAAAGGAACTGGAGTTTTTTAAACTAAAAGAAGTATTAACAAAAAGTACTATAAATCTAGTACAAATTAGGGAGCAGTTGCCACTATAATAAGGGAGCTGTTACTGCTAGAACCATTTTGTAAATGTCACAGAAGCTATAAACATACATAGCAATGCACTTAAGGTAATTAAAAAATACATTTTATACTGAGAATTAAAAACCAACTCTCCATAGTAATGCATCATTATTTTTTCTTTCCGCAGCCACTCAACTATGAAAAAAAGAAATCCTATACTCTTAGCATAGAAGGAGCAAATACCCACCTCGATTTCCGCTTCTCACATTTAGGACCCTTTAAAGATGTGACTATGTTGAAGATCGTTGTTGGAGATGTGGATGAGGCACCATTGTTCACTCTTCCATCCTACATCATGGAGGTTTATGAAAATGCAAAAATTGGAACAACTGTGGGCACAGTAACAGCACAAGATCCAGATAGTACTAACAACTTAGTAAGGTATGGTAGTATTAACAGCTCTTCATAACAGTGGGAGTAGGCAGTGGTGGGATTCAAATATTTTTTTACCACCGGTTGTGTGGGTGTGGCTTGGTGGGTATGGTGTGGCTTGGTGGGCGTGGCTTGGTGGGGCATGGCAGGGGAAGGATACTGTAAAATCTCCATTCCCTCCCCATTCCTGGGGGAAGGTTACTGAAAAATCCCATTTCTTCCCCTCCCCACTAACCTGCTTTCCAGCTCTGTTCTCCTGTGCAGAGCAACCAAAGAAGACCCAGCCGATCAGGGGGGACTCGGGAGCAAGAGAATAGATGGGGGCAGGGCCAGTCAGAGGTGGTATTTACTGGTTCTCTGAATTACTCAAAATTTCTGCTACTGGTTATCCAGAATTGGTCAGAATCTGCTGAATACCATCTCTGGAGTGGGGTGATGGACTGGTCCGAATAAAGTGTTTCTTATGATCCAACTATGGAAATCTTGACTATATCATTCCTAATTTAAAAGTCTGAGACTTTTAAAAAAACTTTTACACGTGCCTTAAAGTTTCCGGTAATTTAACATTAGAACATACTGTATAATGTAAATTTATGGACTGGTATTTAAGTAACAATTTAGACAACACAAAATGAAGGTTATCAAGTGGTTACCAACCTGTTTCCATCCATTTTCAAAGTTTCTTCTCAAACTGATAATGTAGCTACTGCAACATGTTCAATTTGGACAAGGCTGGGGGATGTGGGGAGCATTTTATTGTTAACTTATACAAACATTGAGATTGTCTGAGGAAGTTAATACTTCACTATTTTCTCCAATGACTGATTTACTTGTATTTTTGGCCAACTCAGAATAAAACTATCAATGCAGAGGATATGTATTTTCAGTATTATATTTCTAGTAAAATTGAAGTCTATATTATACTGGTGAGAAGATTCCCAGGTTTCAGTATGTTTGGGTAAAAGGATCTCTGGAGAAATTATTTCTGCTTGGGATGCTTGGATAATTCTAGGCAGAACATGTTGGAGTGAACTATTTGATGGTGTTTATTCATCTCATGGAGATGTTTTGTTTTGTTTTGATTTATGGCATGTATGAATCCAGCCATTGTGGTTTTCTTAAGCTATAGTTTAGCATATTGTGGGAAAACTTTCATTCAATGTTTATTTAAAAAGATTTATGCAGTATAATTGCCTATCTTATAACCAATTCTGGATGGTTCCAATCAAGTATAAACTGGGTGTTTTTTTAATATATAAAATACTATTTTACAAAGGGGCGACTATACATTTTTACTGGGGGGTGGTGTTATGAACTTTTGTTTTATTAGCAGTGACAAAGCAATTTTGTAGTGTTGTTGACTCAAGCATTGAAACAGTTTGAAGTACTGAAATATAAAACCAGCTATAATGAAAGCATCATTTATATACTTAAAGGCCACATGTATATTTAGAAGAAGAGGGTTTAAGATCATTATAGTACATGTACCTAGAACCCCAAAGTCCCATATCTGATTTGACAAAGTTTTTTTTTTAACTGCTGCTTTGTATACAACAGAACATTACATTTCGCAATATTGTTGCAGAACTAAAACCGTGGCTGAACTGATAAATTGCAATAACCTACAGTTGAAGGACTGTAGCTATGACAGGCAGAAGATGAACAGACTGCATCCATGAACACCAGTCAGAAGACACACTGAAAACTTAAAGACACAATGTATGGAGAGACTCAACCGCTTAACATTTTCAACTTAGAGCAAGCCAACTTTAACAAAACTGGGGTATTTTTGGAAGTTTGTCATTCAGACAAATTAGATATACTATAAATGGACATAGAGATAATCCATATTTATACACCATTCAAAAAGACAATAAAAAAGCTAAGAAGGATATAAAAAGTCCTGTTGTGGTTAGCCAGCAGTAGGTGCAGATAGCTGAGGAGAGCGAGGACTCAGATAAGGGGCCAGGATCATTAGGGAGTGAACTTCAGAGATTGTGGGGGCTGGCAGCAGTGATGAGGAGGTTCCTGAGGAGCTTGTGCCAAGTGCGTGTGAGCGCAGGTTTGCTAGCAGGAAAGAGCAGCTGCAGCAGCAGGGGGGCCTTGGGAGTAAGGCTGCAAGGTAATGGTCCCTTGTTCAAGACGATAAAAGCCAGCTGTGAATCAGACGTTCTTTGCAGGAAGCAAAGACGTTTTGAAATTCGAGCCTCGTGGACATTGTAGTTTCTTAGTTGGTAAGTGAAGATTTTTGTGTTGTAAAATATTTCTAGGTAACCTTATCTGTTATTTTTGGCACCCTCACACAATTTTGGCGAGGCTCGTGCTTATCAAAGTTAATTAGTTTGCAGCAGCCTTTTAACCAGGGATTTGTAAGAATCATTAAAAGGTTTCTGTTCCCTTTGGTTGGTGTTTGTTTTATTGGACAAGGGTTTGGGTCAGAACAAAACCACAACAGATCCTCTCCAACAAACAACACCAAGATAAGCAGAGATTGACATCAGACAAACAAGCAGAAACAATACCCCATAAGTAAACTACCAAGGACAATACTACACCCTCACCAACACTGGCAGGGAAAACCTCATACTAGCACTGATGATGTTACCTAGCTATGTAATGAAATGCCTGCAAGCAAACAAACAACCTCAGAGAGCACCAAGGCAAATTGCACTAAATCACAATGTCATTTAATGTTGGCTTCATAGGGTGTCCCAATCCAGTTAATCTTACCTTAATTAACATAATTAAGAAAGACATGGCTTAGCTTTGTGTATGATGCAAATCTGTAACTTATCCTACCTAACTCATCTTACTATAGGAGGAGAGGCATTCTTGTCCAGAATCATATTGTTGATTGAAATCCATTTTGTCTCCACCTTCCCTTCCAGTTTTAGTGGAAGAGTATTAAACTACAGGAAATTATTCTACTTTGTATTATATATAAGGGTACAAAGTCTTATAAATGATGAATGCCATAATCTCCAAAGATTCATTCTGTGTGGTTAAGGATCACAGCACTTAAGATGAAGGAGTATGATACCACAAATCAGGAAATCATTCCAGTGTGGAGTTCTGCAATGAGGCAAATTTTGGAAACAGAGTGTGTTAAGTTTCCATATTTGAATCTGCATTTTGCTTCTCCAGAAATACTTATTCTCCTTCAATGAAAGTTAAAGCTGCAATCCAAAATCCACTTACTAAGAAATCTGGCTTGCTGAACTCAGTTTAGCTTCTTTCCAAATAGATGTACAAATTGTATGTTTAACCTAATATAATAGAATTAATGTTAATTTCTAAACACAATACTTCTGAAAGAATAAGTTTTTGTTTTGCTTTGTTTCAACTAAAATAAAGATTATGTTGCTTTTTCTAAATGGGCAAATTCTGAAGATAAATTATTTCAAGGTAGGATTAGAATAAACACTTTAAGCAAAATGAACTCAAATCCTTCTAGATTTACGCTTGGAAGCCTAATCCTTTTTATCATAAAATAGTTGTGAGTTCTTTAACAGTATGGAAAATATCCATTTCTAAATTTAATTGTGTTTTTATAGGTATGCAGATATTGATATTAATTAAAGCATACTGTTTGTGCTTGGTATTATCAAGATTACAACTGAATAATTACCATGAATCTATTATAACAACATTATATTTTTATGAATTCAAAGAAGATTTTAACTTGCAAATGTAAAAAAAATGTTTGTTACCAGATAGTAAACACAGTTGCCATTTATCAAGTTATGATATAAATATTATGGATAGTTGCCAGCCCACATTATCCTAGAAATCCCAAAATCTATTCTGTAGAATATTTCTACTATTGCTTATAGTGATATTATCATGATCCCCAATTTGAAGTTGAATTCATATTTTTTTAAACTCATACTATTTGGCTGCTACATTCTAAACCATTCAACAATATGAATATAGTTTTTATATTTTATATACGCTCCTAGATTGAGCATATCTCAAAAATGTTTATGGAAGAAAATATATTGAAATATAATGAATAAAAGGACAATAAATTTAAAGCTTGGCTTGTAAAACAATTCCAAACAAGGAGAAGGAAAACAGACACACAACAATCTACAGAGAACTGCTTGGTGAAGGAACTGATGTTTAATAGGGCTCTGCTTCGTGCCAATGTTGTCAAATCTAATCAGGCAGACAGTCATAATCAGAAACAGGTAATACCACAAATAACCAGACTGCGCTCTTTCTAGGGGTGGGATTCAAATTTTTAACAACCGGTTCTGTGGGTGTGGCTTAGGTGGTAGGCATGGCTTGGTGGTTATGTGACTGGGTGGACATGGCTTGGTGGTCATGTTATTGGCTGGGTGTGACCAACTCAATATCACTCACATCGAGGCAAGCATCTCCTCGCCTGGCCTTTCATGACTGTGGGGATGCTACAACAGTCATAAGCATGAAAAATGGTCATAAGTCACTTTTTTCAGTGCCATTGTAACTTTGAATGATCACTCCACACAAACAAAGTACCAGCAAAAGAAGGGAAAAAAACCTCCAGAGAAATTGCAGAGATAGGAAGTCTAGTCCTGCCAAGAATGTAATAAGGTTTAATGGAGAGGAAGCTTCTGTAAGCAACACCAGAATGTTTCCTTCCTGCCTTCCTTACAGGATTAGGCCAGTAATTTTTCTAACAATCGGTTCTCCGAATTGCTTAGAATGGTAACAACCAGTTCTAGTGAATAGGTGCGAACTGGTAGAATCCCACCCCTGATCAGTTCCCATAAAGGGATCTTTAGATAACAATCAGGATTCTGAATTATGCTTGGAAGCTCACTGGCTTCACTTATCTCCCTCTTGAAGCTCTTCAGGTTACAACAGGAGTTCTGCCCTTGAATATTAAACATTCCTTGCATAGGAAACTGTCCAAGGAGGACTTGTCTAAACATATGTTTTCATATGCAGACTTTCCTTTATCAATAAAATTGTGTACCATTGTTACATCTGGAACAAAGCCTTGAGAATAATTCTCTTCTGAT